ACAGTAAAGTAGTGTTGGGTTATATTTTTTTAAGCTCCGTCATTAGCGTTTTCTCTTGTTTTTCCACTACTTTAAGTGGAATGTCAAATTCGTTCCTGAATCGACCCCCATAACCAGCACAACTTTACACAGCGAGCACATGTGAAAGGCACTCATAAGTGGAGTCATATCCAAACCACCGCTCATTATAAATCATTTGCTTATGGTTTCAAATGGGATAAAATCATATGCATGGAGGCCAGCGTTTGGAACGGTTTGCCATCCAGCTGTTTACAGGTCCCTCCAATATCATCATGGAAACTCCTAAAAACTATGTGTTGTTGTTTGTTGTCATGGCAGCCAAAGGAAACTGTGGTCACTCGTTGGCGTGCAGACCCCTGGGCGCGGGGCTCCTACTCGTACGTTGCAGCAGGTTCTTCGGGTAACGACTATGACCTCATGGCGCAACCCATCACGCCCGGCCCCGCTATACCGGGAGCTTCACAGGTAAGCACACGAACACTGAAGAAGTTTGGGTTTGGTGAGAATGGGAGTTTATGTGTGTGTGAGAAAGCGAGGGAGAGAAGGCATCCCAACCCTGACCACAATATTTAACCAAACCAAAGCAGAGCAGTTTATTCCCCACACAGATGTTTTTTGGGCTGTTTTGATGTTGGCATGCTGATTGATGTGAACAAGTCATATTTATGCGTTGCCTGATGAGTTCTGGCAGTTTACTACCACACTTTTCCCTCTCTCATCAATCCCTTATTTTCTTTTATTCCTTCTTATGTCGGGACAATCCGACATCGATCTCAATGTGGTTTTTCTTTCCCCCCCCTCAGCCCGTCCCTCGTCTCTTTTTCTCTGGGGAGCACACGATCAGGAATTACCCGGCTACAGTCCACGGCGCCCTGCTCAGCGGTCTCCGCGAGGCCGGACGCATTGCAGATCAGTTCCTGGGTGCCATGTACACACTTCCCCGGCAGGCCACTCCCACTGCCGCCAGCAACCCTCAGCAGGCTCAGCCCACCCCCAGTGTCTGAAATTGCCTCCACTAGTTCCTGCCAACTCCAGACTCTCAAACCAACAGCAATTATTTTATTTTTTTTTGATAAAATACAAAAGTCTACTCATAAACTGTTGGTGTTTCTGTATGTGAAAGATCTTGGAAGTCACAGACACAACTTTGCATCTTTGCCTTTACTCAAGTAATGACACTTTGAAGATGTATCTTCGGGCTTTGCGTATGATGTGAAATAGAATCTTTAACTGGAACATTTCCGTTCCTCAGATTTTTTGTGGGATGTTTGTGACTGTACACATTTCCAGCAAAATATGAAAACAGATGTAACCTACTACAAAGACTCGGTTTAAGAATGAGGAATGAGTCTCAATTTTGTTACATACTAATGTAATAACTCATCTAAGACTTTATAAATGTGATTTCCCAGTCTTAAAAACAGAAGCATGGCATTACGTGAGGTACTCGGAGTGATTCAGTATATTTGATTCCTTGTGGAGCATGTTTGCAAAACTCAACATCTATTTATGTGCCCTGTCTAAATACTAAACGTACACACAACCTAGAACCAGATATCATATAAGACAGATGACCAGCTCGGTAGCACAGTAACAATCTACAAAAACTGTCCTGCTGATCTAAGCAAAAGACATTTCCCTCTGGTGTCATTCCAGGGGCCTCGTCTCGGTTGTCTTAAAACACTGCTGTGTACTGTAGCCGTATGCCTCCTAAATTTACTTTGTCATTTAGGTTGCAGAGTGTAGTGAAAATAGTTTGTTTTAAAAGCTAAAAAGATGGATATGTTGAAAGAATTGTGAATGTTTTTGTTTCCATAGCAGTTTAAGTATTTTATTATGGTTATCATCACATACTTTTTTATATTGTTAATTGTTTTGTTATTAAAAGAAGACAGAAATTGCATCAGTGTGTTTCTTGTTGGAAAGTGTAACAAGGTTGAGAAAGGTGTGTGTGTGTGTGTGTGTGTGTGTGTGTTCAGAACAAAGTGCTTCCTGTCCTGCTATGACCTGCAGATGTGTAGTTTTTGTACTTGAACATGCATGTACGAACGTAACATGGCTGCTTCTAATTTGACCCTCCAGTGACCCTCCCTCATTGCAGGTCTGGCTGCTTCCGTGTGTGTGTGTGTGTGTGTGTGTGTGTCAGTGTGTCAGTGTTAGTGTTAGTGTGTGAGAGAGGTAGAAATGAGGGTCCCTGGCAGCAGCTCCACGTAGTGGGGGATCTGATGAATGAGGGGGAGATTAAAATGGTCAACCATGAGCTATGAGCTTTTCTGTGGAGTTGTATTTCAGGGCTCTGTGCCCCTCTGTTTCCATGCACTCTTGAGCGTCACGGGCCTTGTTTTCCCCCAGAGATGCGGTTATTATTATCGTGACCAAAGGAGATGTTTGATGTAACAACAGTAATTTGAGCTGGGGTTTTGGACTGCAGCACTCGGGTATTTTCACCTCTCTGGTAAACCATAGGCTCAGAGCAGTGTGTAACTGTTGACTGGTGAGGTTATTTTTCATAATGGCCTCGAGCCCACATCAACTGATTACTTGATAGAAAGGCAAAGATACAGAAAGTCAGATAGCTGGTTATAAAAATCCTCTGGAAGAGAGACCACAGCGTGTCTGAACACATCTCCTGTGATTCATAGGTGTGGGGTGGAATGTACACTTACACAGGTACAAACACCTCCCACATGCTGTTATGTGAATCATGATCATCCACAATAATAAAATATTAGATGAATCATGAAATGATTGTACAACTGTTTCAGTATTTTTAGCCATTGTAGCAGAATGACTCAATGGCTATTTGATGGATTCCCATGATGTACAAACATTCAGACTCCCATGAGAATTAATCCTTCTGGTGATCCCCTGACTTTTCCACCATGAGGTTGACATTTTTGGTTTTGAGTAAAATGTCTTAACTGAACAACCTCATGATGAGCTCTAATAATTTTGGTGATCCCTAAAATTTGTATCTAGCTTTGATTGTTGACAACCACTTTTCTAAATGACATAAAATCCCATATAACATGTACAGTTATCAAGCAAATGTCACCTCTAAAGTTATTCATGCATTCTCACAGATGACATCCCCCTCAGTCTTTCCTATGACACCTGTTGTAGGCAGTGAAGCCTCTATCTCACTTCTCACTCCTCCATCGTCCTCCTCCTACACTCGCCTGGAGTGCAACTGAGTCATTTCCATGGTTGACTTCACAGCATTAATTCAGGTCAGGCATCAGCGCTGAGGCTCAGGAGTACCAGGGTCCAAACAGGCACCACTGTGTTAGGGTAGCACCTCCTTGCATCTGAACTTAGGACAGATTAAACCACACAAGCGGGAGACAGCGTTAACCCCTGACTCTCAACCATTTTGACTCATGACACCACGCAAGCAAACCAAGGCTGACTCCTGATTCTCTTTTGCAGTGCTAAAAACTTTGATACGTGATGATTAATATGTGAAAGAAGTCCTCAGACTACAAGTATTCATCATTTACAATAGGTGATGTACAGCCGTTACTGGTTACATTAATGGCTTTGTTCTATAAATCATGCACAATATCCAGACCCTTATATTGAAGCAGCTAATAAGGAATTACACTACTATACTATTATTATAGTATCTCACTGTATTTATACATATGTAGTGGAATAAGTACATTCATTCAAGTACTGTACTTCAGTTCAATTGTGAGGTACTTGAGTGTTTTTATTTGATGCCACTTTATACTCCTTAAATACATTGATTTTTACAGTTGATTCCTACATTAAATACAACTAAACATACATCAACTCCACTAAAATGCTACTTAAGAAGTTTTTTTTCTAAATTTAGTTCTAATAATGAAATACACGAACAAGCTCTTCTACTTTGATATTTTTTAAGTACATTTTTGCTGATAATACTTCTGTACTTTGCTTCCAACCAAAGGAGTCTTACTCATAATGGGAGTATTTTTACACTGTGGGATCTGAGCAATATTTGTGGGAACTTCCAAAACACTCACAGAAATGAAATTTTACTTTTAATGTAAGAAAAAGTGAAACAACTTTAGCCAGTTAATTTGTGTTTGGATTAAGTGGAATTTCACCTTTCACCTTATTAGCAGACTATTTCAACTGTGTCAAAGGGGTCTAGTATTAGGAATTCAAGTATTATTTTATTTATAGTTGTCTCAGTGTATGTTTATTCATGTATGCAGTTCTATATAAAGATGTGTGACATATAGTTTGATAGAGATTATTAGTTTAAAAGTTTCATTTATAATGTCCCAGAGCAGAAAGTGTGTCTACTAACAGTAGCCCCAATAGACCAGAATGCAATGCAGCTGAGCACCAGGAGTCACTTTGAACATTTTGATCTCCTGCTCCATCACTGTCACCTGTGTACACCTACACATAAAGGCCATGCAGATTAATTCAACACGTTTGGGCTTGTTCTCTGGAGTTGTACAAAACCATTCTGGGAAATGTAGGACATTACCAGGCAAGAAAAAACTCTCCTGCTTTACTGGTGGATAATAAAATAACTGAGGATGAGAGGTTGGTTATTTCCACACGTCTATTTATCAGACTATATCATGCTGGCAAACTTAACTTACAGTTGCGGGAACAGAAGTGCTGGCTTTCACAAAGCGAGGCCTAGCTGTTTAAGAGAAAGTTGTGTGCTGACTTTGCATTCCACAACAGCTTGTGGTTTTCCTCTTTGTACCTGACCAAATTGCCTAATTTGTCTGCCTGCTTATTTTGCATACCGTCAGCTGCTGTTCTCTCTGCTCAAACCAGGGGATTGCACACGCACACAGACACGCACACATACACACACACACAGAGAGAGAGGGTGTACCACTATGAAATCAAAACTTGCTGAGCTTGTTCAGCAAAAAGCAGAAAAGAGATTAACATACATGGGTTGAGTTTTTACACATGATCAGCACCGCGTGCGCACACACACTGACACAGGTTCCAGCATGGAGACGTGTTACAAACAGGTTGGTTTTTATTTTTATTGGAATACATATGGTTCGCTGTACAGTTGGCAGCTTCAAGAGACCTACATGCAGAGTGCGCCAGCCACAGTAAGGTTAAAACATGCACAATGTATTAAGTCTAAAACAGAAAAGAAAAAACAGCCTCCGCACACAGTCCACCTGGCATTGCTGACACACTGAGAAGCAATAATAAATCATAAAAAACCCTTTTGATCTGATTTCATTACAGATAGTTTTGTGTTTGACACCTCTGTCTGTCAGTCTCCTTCTTCTGCACACAAAAACGTAGAAGCGCTCAGCAATAAAAACAAAACAGTTTGATTGTACAGGCCTGAAACTCTTGTATCTGTGCGTGTAAGAGAGATGAGATGTTTTTGTTGTTTTTTAATTCCTATTAGATTATTTGTGTGCGTTTACATATATATATATATTTATACACACACATGTATTTTCTGGGGCCTGCACGCTTCTTTCTTTGGCAGTACTTAAAAACATACAGCACAGAAGATGTACAAACCCTGAATTTATGAGCGAGGGAGAACAGAGCAGCGAAGAGGCCGGACCACTGAATGGTCCCCGATAAAATCGGGCCGACACATGGTGAACCACTCAGCACTGCAGACCTGCTCAGCTCTGATAAAATGGACATCGCTCTCATTATTCAATGACTATGACACAACCCTGGCCTCTCTCTTAAATGCTCTCTCTCTCTCTCTGATCTATGGTGTGCCACCTTGTCTGCAGGTCGTGAGAAATGTCTTGCATTAAAATAACAAACACAAAAATACAGGAAGAAGTACTCTCCAGGAGTGTAATAACAATGAGGAAGATACATTATCTTGCAAAAGAAAAATATCATTCTTAAAATCAAGATGGACAAATACTTAATATATTTCAATAATAAGGCCCACTTTACAAAATTACAAGATTTTCCTTAAATAAAATCTATCCGATATAGCTTCCAAAATAAGACATCTTTTGTTTAACAAAGAAATAAAAACATACATAAGCAGAAAAAACAAACCAAAAAAAGAGAATACCCTCAAATTGATATTTTCCCCTTAATTTCAGTATTTTAGAGACAGGGTATCCATCTGGGGAAACACTGGCTCTGTCTCTATCTGTAAACTAGAAATACTGTGGAATGATTTTGGCACAATGTTAGAAGGCTGAGATGCAGGCGTAACAGGGTGCCATACCTCAAAAAATATGCTCAAAGATGTTTCATTCACTGAGTGCGTGGCAATTTTCCTTTCTTTAACAGGTGAGATGACTCTTAAATACTCTAATTTGGCTGGTGCAAAAACACATTACATGTCTGTGGTACATTCAGCAAACGGCTACTGAAACAGAGTTAAAGGAAACTTTTTGACAAAGGGGACTAAGGGGGCATTAGTCGTTTGAGGTCTTAAAGTTAAGTGCTGGTTAAGTGCAGATTACAGCCTACGCCACCCAATGACACCATGACCCTGGCTTCACAATGGAGGCCTTTGAGGACAAGGGCCCGCTCGCTGCCCGAGAGCCATTTCTCCCTGGCCATTCCAATCTCTGCTAAGTACATTCTAGTCTACTTTATTAAAAGGAAAAAACAATGACTTGTAAATAACGGATGTTTATACATATACCAGCAGAGCTTAAGAGGATTTCTGTTAACTCTTTAGTTGGTATTTGAGCAGGGAAGCGGAAGCAGCCTCTTTTCTCTCCACTGCTTAACCACCTCTTGTCCTTGTAAGAATTTTCAAACATATCATGTCCTAAATATTCTGCTCCAGCGGCAGCTATCATAACATTTCTCCGATTCAACAAATGTTCGGCAAAACTGCCATCTTTCAGGGAGGAGAGGAAACTGACAAAAACTCTGAAAGAGCCCCCCAGCTGTTTCTTTATAGTGCCACAAAAGCCATAGAAGTCTGAAACCTGTCAAGTCTACACTTGAGTCCCAGATGACCAGTCAGTACATTCCTCCGTGTCAACACTTTACAGGCTCCCGCCACTGGAAGCAACAGATACAACCAATAACACGTGAGTAGTGGGCATGTAGCCTAAAACACACATAGATAGAAGCCTCGACTGGTCATCCTGGCACACAGAGAGTCCAGCTAAGAGTCAGTGGATGGCGGTCAGTTGGGTGTTAGTGTACTTTGGGGCCTTGTAAGGAAGAAATACAGTATGACTAACGGAGGATGCAGTTTCAACTTTGCCCTTCAAGAAGCCCTGATTTCTTTGAAGCCGGTCTCCAGGAGGGTAACCCTCCAATGTGTCATAAAACCTACAGTTTCCGACAGCTGGGCTTTTCCTGGGACCCCTCGACTCAAATACTCTCTTCAGGGTGAGAAGGGGGGAGGGGGACAGAAAGGTAGAAGAATGAAGGAAAGTGAAAGACACGGATGAAAGATCGAGGTCGCGCAGTATAGTTGTAGTGAGGACGGGTGGAACTAATATAGATTGCATGGTAGATGGTTTATCGCGTGGAGGGAAACAGGTGAACTTTAAGGTGGGAACGATAAGGGCTGAGGAGGGCATTCGTGTTGGTACTTGCATCACCAAGTTGCTATATACAGTAATCCTGACCCACAGTGATGTAAGCCTCAAATATAAAAAAAAACACAATCTCCAGCCACACACACACATGCACATTTGTCATTCAGCACCTTCTTACTCGGGGATTTGCAGCAGCTCACAACACACCAGTTCCTGCTTTTAAAACGAGAGCCCTCACTGACATATTAATAACAACACACACCGATGGACAACCGCACCACGTGTATCTCTGGCAGCATGAGCACAGGCAGAACCGGAAACTCAATACCCTCAACTGTCCGTCTTCCTCCCTCCTGTATTTAGAAGCCCTGAGTCAAGACGTAGAGACAGGATTAGATGCAGCCCTGACCTCTGACCTTTCAGCTACCCAGGGAGCTGCCCATCACTATCTGGTGACAGGCCTCTGGCCTTCAACAAAACAACAACTCTCTGAACCAACAACACATATCACCGCTGTTTAGGACTTGGCTTTCCCTTTAGGAAATGAGAATCCAAGGAAGATGCAGAGAAACAGAGGAGGAAGGAGGAAGAGAGGAAAGGGGGAGGGAGGAACATTTGACTTCTCTAAAATACTAAAAGGAAAATTGGAATTGGTTGAAAAGATGATAGACTGGGGAAGAGATGGCATCCCCTCTTGGTAAATGAGAAGAGTGGTAGTAGAAACAATAACACAGAAAGCGCAGAAAGGCTATATGATCATCAAGTCTTGGCGTGTGCACTAAGAGCTCTGAACAGTATGTCTGGTCTGTGTTTGCTCTATCATAAAGCCAGCAGTGGCCATGAAGAGGCCACATGGCAATCCTTTCTGAGGCTGCACTGCACCCTGCGACACAGAGACAAATCCAAGGGACGTAGCTTTTTAGGCGGTGCGGTCTATATTCTTTAAAAGAGTACTTTGAAGTTAGGTTAGAAAAAAAAATAGCTTTTTCTAAGGGAACCTTGCTTTGACATACCTCAGGGAGGAGTTCCCTTTAAGAACCTTAAACCAAAATACTTTTTATGATGTTCCATACAACATCCCTCCGAATGTTAAAAATATAAAGTTAAAAAAAAAGAACCTCACAATTAGTATTGCATGTCATTTATCTGCACAGTGTAAGAATATGGTGCAAGTCTGAATTTGTTGGGACATTCTACCTCTCTCTTACTGTATCTCAAGGCACAGATGAACATACTGTAGATATTTCAATCAAAGGGTAAAATAAATGGAAATCAATGGAATTCGGAAAACATTTTAGTTTGGACTTATCACTACACAGTCATCACCTCTGATCTGCATCTACAGTATGACGATTGATAGTTACAGACATTAACTGCATGGGGGGGGGGGGTTATTGATTGCATATAATCTCCTGCTTGCATAAACAATAAAGTGACAAAGCGGCGACAGACTAGACTCCTGCCGACAGAACTCTTCACAATAAAAGAACCTGTACATATATGGAGACTAATAAATATTAGATTGTGGCTGGTAGAATACAAGAGAAGTGAGAAATGTACTCAGACGGAAACAGGCCATCCCCTGCAGGGTCTGACTCAATGCAGCACTGAAAGCCATAACAGCAAAGGAACCAGATGGAGGCTTCAAAAGTTCTTCAGCAGATCCATGTGTCCCAAGGTGTCACAGTTATGGTTACATGATCTTGTCAGAAAGACAAAGAATGCAATCGTGTTGGATTGGTGCATCAAGTCATCAAGCAATTGCTCATTCTCAGCTGCATTCAATAGCAACATTCATACATTTGTAGCGGGATCAAAGTGTACATTGCCTGTCAAACTCCAATGAATGTGGTATGTCACATCCTAAATCCAGCAGGAGCCTGTTGAAAGACTAACGTTACAGAAAAGTTTGACAATATCAGTGAGGTTTCGGTCATAGATATGCACCATTTACCTAAATGAAAACACCTTTTTATTTATTACTGGCCACGACTAAATCGGTTTCTATGGCACCCCCATTGCTGCAGTGGCAGCAGATTGCTCCAACATATCAACCACAAGTTGATATTTTATGATGTAACAAAACAATACACTTTTATAGAAATAAGAGATGGAGATAAGCTGGGACGATTCGCACGGCGAACCGAGTCACACACAAGCTGGACTGACAGTTCCTTGTGGTTAGAAGTCTTGAGTCTTCCTATGACTGGCTGGCATGTACACAGTATTTACAGCAGCACTGAAAATTAGTCCGCCTTGCCAGGCCAGGTTTGCTGGTAATCCAAAGTCCAATGTTCAGTTAAAACAGAACCTCCATTTTGCTATGGCTCTCTCAAAATACATGAATGAGGACAATTGCAACAGCTGTAAAACAAAGCACCATGGAAACTGTAGCATGCCCCCCATTATTCTTTTTTCTACATGTGCATTGCATTTCATTGCGTGCAAACTACTTTTTTTTTGTCTTGATATGGTTGAGCAGAAAGGGAAAAGGATAATGCAGAACAGGAAGCGAATTACAAAGAATCAAAATAAGTGGTGAAAATGGCAAAAAAAAAAAGCTTAAATAAGGTCCCGGTCTGTCAGAAATAATGTGTGTGCGTGTGTGCTCCTTTAATGCAAGCCAACCAGCAATTATTTGAGCAGCGTGCATGCTGAGTCACAATATTTCAAGTGCTCTCTTCAGTTATTACTTAGAAACATGGATCAAAGACCCCAAATGAAATCAAATTTGAGGCTGCATGCCAGAATGTGGTGACACGGGTTAAAAATAAACCAAAACTTTTAAAATGTACATGTTGTTTGTGCATGTGTTTATATGGTTGTGTGTACAAATGTGTGAGAAAATCAGAAAAAAAGCACATATAGCCATCCAAGCAAATATGAGTTGAGTAGGAGAAAATGGATATCATGGTACGAGTCAGCAAAGATGGTAATTCGCTTCCTGTTTTTGGTCACATTTAAGGTACATTTCCTTTAGTTTGTGAAGAATTCTGCATGGAGATCCAGCCCTGTGAGATAAAGATGCATCTTAAACATTGTACTGCAGTTGATTGAAGATTGGGTTGTTTTTTTCAGTGATGAAGAACTGTTGATGCAGAAGCAACATAATCAGCTCCTGTAATGGTCCTCTGAGAAAGGCATTCTCAACTTTTGAGTCCTTCTTCCTCGAACTCTCTTTAAACCTCTCTGGCACGCAGGAAAATCTCCAGTCGTCCCCAGCATGCCAACCTCTCCCTTGTCAAGTTTCGGGAATACACTATAATACATCCAACGCGAGAAGCAGAAGAGGATACATGGGCTGGTGAGGCGACCTCCAAAACACTGTACAGGCACTGTCTTTCCATTTATGCCTCTTTTGGGACAGAGAAAGTTCCGGATAGGAGGACCGTTGACGTCACAGGGTACACTCAGGGTCATAATAAGTAGGCTTATGTCTGTGATTTGTTGTTCTATACGGCTGCAACTGCTATTTTTCTTTTCTTTGCTTGTTATAAAAGCTGCAGATGCGGACTTTTGGAGATGGTGGTAATGGTGTAGCCACTAGTTGATGGGAGACTGATGTTTGGCCCTCCTTGTGCCATTGAGAGATTAATTGAGTGCTGTTAAGAAACAAAAATAGGAGAAAGATCTTACTTAGTCCAACAGACTTTAACACAAACTATTTATCTTTTTTTAGAAACATGATTGGTTGGTCATTTCCAAATAATTTCCTAGAAGGCTTGCCAGAAAGAACAAGGTAATTATGTACTAATTATTTGGAAAATAGATGTTCAATTGGTACACTTCCAATTAAAAGTCTTTTAGTCAGTGCGTTGCCAGTCAGCTGAAACTGTGTGCAATTCAACATGTATGAAGTATAAAGTTTCTGATGATAAATTTATAATGAATAAATATTTACTCTAGACTAAATGGAACTTTTCTTTCAAGAAAATTAGTGCTAAATTACATTGTTCTTTCCAGGAAAGAAAATATTCTTATAATTAAGAACAATAAAGGAATCCTCTATGCTTGCTTGCAGGTTAGGTTTCAGTAAAGTTCACCTGGAATTGCTTTTCTCAGCAGGGTGGATGCTAACTGCTAAATGCAGTGAACCTGGGACTTCCCACTGGGCATCATCCTACTTATTAAACCATCGCACTGCTGCCACCATGATAGATGTACTAAACCCAGTGCTGTTAAATGTGCTACAGCAGCTTGGTGCTGCAAATTTGATTTTAAACCCCCTTAAGAGATGTGACATGATTCAAACAGGGGTAATTAATCTCACTCTCCTTTAATTAATGAGTTTCAGGAGCCAGAAGAAAATAAAAGACCCTGCCCTCTCCTACCTGTCCTTTTGCTGTAGAAGTCCTGCTCAGACCCAGTTGTTCTAATGATGCTCAGACTGACGATGGCTCCACGGTCTGCTCCCCGCTCCACTCCTCCCCTCGGGTCTAGCCCCTGACCCTTGACCCCGACTGGACCACAAGTCCCCTCTGGAAGAGGCCCCTGCTGTCTTGGACGCCCGGTCATAAGAGCTCCCCAGGTGGTGAGAGTCACTGCTGGGTAGCTGCCGCCGCCAGGAGGCTGGGCTGTGGCTCGGGTTTTGACTGGGTTCTTCTCCATCAGCAGCCTGGAAAGGTTAGAAAATTAGATATAGAAAAAATGTTGTTCACAGTCTGGATTGGCAGCTGTAGAAAGTTCTAGTTGGTGGATTGGTTTGGCATTGACTTGGTCGGAAACACAAACATTTCAATAGAGGTCAGTTAATTCAATACCATATTCTGCAGTTGTGTATAGGAGCTCTGGGCACTTAGTTTGGACTTATGTGGGCATTAAATACATGCTGTTTATGTTAACTGGTGTGTGACAAGGAAAGTCTGCCATGTGGACTTCTGCCAGGGGAAAAATCCCCGACCAAAAACCCCAAACATACCCCAAGCTGAGAGATTTATAATTTGGTGGGCTGACTAGAAAACAAACCCCAAGTTACTAGTCTGTGGTGGCTACAACGGCACGTCCCCTCTTATAACCTCAGTAACCCTACTTGAAGAAAGCGAGAGTTAGATGACGATGCAGTTCCTAAAGCACACAGAAACAGCACCCCACTCCTGTAATTTCAGCTTTAAAAAAGCACCATAATTAGTGACATTTGGTGGGTTGGAGTTGGCTTCAGATGCAGTTTTAGAATGCATTCTAGCTAATTGGCTTTAATGGAGCCCTGCTGGACTGCCTTTCTAGGTCTCCAGGGGTAACCAGACAGGAAATCAGTCACCAGCAGACTCTGCCAAGTAGGCGTGTTCAGTGTGGTCACTTCCTGCTCCAGTCACTGAGGGGAGGAAACAGCAGAGTGGCATATTCTCCTTCTATGGTAAGCCACTGCTGCAAGAGACTGGGGGCTTTCACAAGATTGCCATGTAATGCACTTCCAGTGTTCCTCCTACACTCAACAGGAGGCTTCCACATTGTTCAACACATTGTAACAGACTTAAATTAACTAAAGTTAATAAATACACACATGACAATAAAGATTTGGCATTTATTCACCCAAAGTTAAAAGAAAAAGCTTGGAAATGACAATGAGTGTAGTGCACTAAAGAACTAAACAGATTTTAAAAGATATGTGGCTTCAGTAGAAGGAAAATTAGTAACTTCTGCGTGTGCCAATGGAGAGCATTTTTCCCATGTGGCTGAAAGTTAATTTAAGAAAATATTTGGGCAAAAGGAACGTCAGCCTGTAATGAATGCTGTTAAGTAAGCCTATGTGCCAGAGCAGAGGAAATCTACTGGGAACAGCAAGTGCTGCTGTCATCACAGACCTGCTCCTGCAGATCACATCAGAACGCCTTCAGCTTGGAAAACCCACATTTATAGGCTGTTATAATCAGAAACACGAAATCATTTCTGACAGCACAGCATGATGATTTTACATAATAAAAACAAGACAAGGTGGGAATAAGAAAAGCAGTGCTGTTAGGTACACATCTCGCACAAACCTTTATATGTCAAACAGTTTGGATATTTTGGGAAATACACTTATTTATACTTATCGCCTAGAATAACATAAGAATACCACTCTCATATCTGTATGGTTAATATCTAGTTGGAGCCAGCAGCCAATTATCTTAACTTAGTTTAGCAAAAAGACTAGAAACAGAGCTAGCCTGGCTCCACCCAAAGGTAACAAAATCTGCCTACCAGGACTTCTAAAGCTCACAAACCAAAGTGTAAAAATAACACGCTGTGTGCTGGACTGTTTCTTGGACAATCTCTAAGCTAAGCTAATGAGCTGCTGGCTGCAACTTCAAT